TCCTTTTCAAATATCAAACAGTGAAATCAAATCTTAATATTTGAATGCATGTAGGGTCGTCGAACAAATTCAGTGGACTGTCGAACAAATTTAGTACAACAATCCAATTCAATCCTCCTTACCCACAAGCTGTTGAGTTGAAGTCATGGTATTATGCATGTATTTCTTTGTGAATTATGCATAAGTAGAAACATATTATTGATATAATAATGCATTAATATATACAAGAACAATTTTTTAAGATTTTAACTTTCTTGTAGGGCCAAAACAATTGAACCAATGCTTAATGCATACAAGGTAAAGAGTACATCTTCCACAGGCTATGTTATGGTGGTGCCCTTTGAGGATGAAATCATAGCTATTTCCAATATCCAAGCGCAACCTCAAGTAAGAACAACATAAATTGTATTATTCTACCGAAATTTAATTATTTTTAGTAGTCACAAAAAAGAAATATGTGGCATTCTTGAATTATATAGGGACAAGTATTTTATGTTGAGGCTGAACTTTCTCTGCCAAATGAGAATCAACGCTTTTGTGTGTTATCTTGTTCTGACTGTAAGCAATTGTTCACGAGATCTTTCTCTTGGAGGACAATTTATTGTACAAATTGTCAACGATCCACTCATCTAATTCCAAGGTATAAATGCTACTAGATTCTTCTATATGACTATTTAGAGTTCATAGTTGTTTAGTTTTTATTCATCTAACCAAATATTTGTTCTACATTATAACAGATGTCAATTTGAAGTCACTGTTAGAGATAATAGTAGTTTTGCAACAGCCATTATTTCTGACAAACATGCCGAGAAAATGTTAAGCCTCAGCTCAGAAGAAATTTATGACATCTACCATGTCAAGGTACATATTTCATATTACTGTTAGCTTCAAAAACATACAAACAAATATCAATGGCAAAATGACCCCCCTTTGATACGTAACTAACCAATTTCATCCTCCCAGAGACAAATTTTACCTCTTGCAGATGTGCAGAAACAGTTGAGTGGAAAGATATTCAAAATTCAAATGAAAAAATTATTTACAAAATATCATGATACAGTGCAAAAGTTGTCTATTTTATCTTACATGAACAAAGACAATGAGATCCACCAAGAGTTCCCGCCAACCATGATGGATGTTGCCGAGGGGAGAAAAAGCAAAATTGAACATCTTAGCTTGGAGGGAAGAGAATCTCAAGAGACAACTAACAAAGACGATGCTTTCCACTACAAGCGGGGCTTGGAAATAAAGACTCCTCTTTTGAAAAAGTAATTGTAAGGTATTTGAACTTTCTAATAAAGTTGTTCTTTTATCTGCTCATATTAATCAATTTGTGTGTTTCTCTTTTTATTGTTTCTAATTACATTGAAGGTTAGAGCTTAAATCTTGGTATTATAAGTTTATCTTGATTTTATCGGCTATTTGCTCTATACATGCCATGGGGATCAATTGCCAGTGTTGATCAGTTTGTGTGTCATTGCTTGATCTTGATGAATCAAATGTGCAATAGATATTGGACTGTTAAGATGGTCGTTGTAGTTGTTCAAATTGGTGTCTGTCTCCACCTCAAGGTCCAAATAATAGGGAATAAGAAAGAAAGTTTAAAAAGAAAAGTGAGCAACTGTATTTTGATGGATGGATTATAGGAACAATATTTTCTTGCCTCAATAAAAGAGGCATTCTTTTTTTGCTTTTCCTCCGTAAAAATAGCAGTTCTTCTGTTCTATCTTTGTATGTCATTCATCTTTGATTTTTAACTTCCAATGGCCGTCAACTTAAGATGTTTTCATGGAGTATAGAATGATATAGTTTGAGTTTAGTGTGAGGATAAAATATGAGTCAATTGGTTTTAATGATCTGGAGAACTACTTTGCTGGCAAGTATAACATGCGGTTTCTATAAAGTTATTTCTTGAAACAGAAAGATTAGGTTGTATATCTATTTTCGCTTTTCCCGTTTTTCTTTATCTAGGTAAAAAGTTGCCTCAATAAAATTTTTGCGTACAACTAGAAACTCTATCAATATGGGAATTTCTTCAGACACCATTCGAAGAATTCTATGACATACTGTGATGTGAATGAAAAAAAAAGATTATGTGGGAGGAATTCTCTAACATTATGTGATGTGAATAAAAAAAATAAAATCAAAAGATAGAAATATAGAGAATGGAAAATTTGCACTAGAGGGTGCATAATCATAGAGGTTTGAGAGAAAAGACAACATATCGAGGTGCCGCCAATTAAAGATAGGTTTGGGTGATGAAACTGAATAAATAATAGTACGAGGAAACTAAACCGATATATTTCCCAATTTCAAAGCTTTTATCTTTTATTTGATTGTTAAGATATCATTATTAATGGGGAGTAAATTTCTTGGCTTATTTCTTGAGAATGCATCATCTCTCAACACGTGTAATTACTACGTACACTTGTTCTTGCACTTCTTAGCATTGTTTAATTTTCCCTTGGAACGTTCTATCAATACAACATATTTACTTAATTTCACCTGCTCTCTTAGTTGAAGCCACATTTTCCTACTGTTTTGGGATGCATTTGAAGGCATTTTGCTGCTATTTTTGGATGCGGTTAAAGCCACAGCGATGTTGCTGCTTTCTACTTGTGGTTAAAGCAAATCTTTTGCTGGTGTAATATTAGGTTAGTTTACCTATTTACTATCTGTCTATGATACTATCCCATCTCCCATATTACTTAACTCATTCTCCATGGTTTATTAACATGTCAATGCAGAATGATTTAAGAAACAATCACCATGTCTTCCTCATTATTATATCACCTCTTCATATTTTGCTTAGTACTAAGTTCTTTTTCATTGCATGTATGTATTTTGCTTTAATGGATAGTTAACTAATCTGAATATGAAAGACGAAAAGAAAAGAATGTTTCTGATGTTAATGTTCTAAGTAGCTTTCTAACTGTTTGTGTGTATCATTATCCTTTTATTAAAGGAGTTTGTTCTTTCCCTGCTTTGGTTTTAGATGTCATAGAAAAGGACATAAGTATCTCCCTAGCTCATTTCTGTCCTAAGTCTATATTGACTTCTTTGTTCATTGTGATGCAGACACTAGCGTCTTTTGCACGAGTTACGAGGATAACATACTCGATTATTTGGTCAAATGCTTTAGTGGTCATGCTTGTATTTGTTTTTTCATTAATGACAATGTTGTAGATTGTACACTCGCTTCCCATTTCTCTTGCATAATTTTATCCAACAAAAGCTAAATTTGAGGAGATCTAGGAAAATCGTTTGCATGTTTTTAGTCTCGTGCAATTATTATTATGCATAGAATTGACTTTGCTTCGTTCAGTTCAATTTTCTTGGTAAAAATTCTATCAGGTATCAATGCAATTGATTGATCAATAATGGTGTAACAGAAGGCCTACTTATATTAATCTTGTAGAGGCATCATTCCACACTGAAAAAGTGCTTTAGAAAAAATGGATTGCATTGATATTACCCTAAAACTTAATTCATTATGTTATGTAAGTACTGAAACTTAGTCTTTTTCTGTGATTTTGCAGATGTCAGTACTTTTGTTGCACTACAATGAAGAACAATTACTGTATGGAGAAAGAATCACCTTTTGTGTATAGATACTCATGGATGTAAAAATTATGCTACTTTTGAAGTAAAATGCATCTCTTTTGGTCGATATGTAATACCTATATGTATATATTTAGTATTCTCATGGATGTGAATATTGTGTCACTTTCTAATTTCTGTCTCAATTTCTTCAATGCAATTTCATATCAAAACAAATTAATCACAAGTAGTAATTCCATATTCTACCGTATTGGGCCCGTGCTATGCACGGGCAAAAGCCATCTAGTATTAATAATAAGTCCTATTAAGTATTATTCTTATACATTTTACCAAACGACCTCTTAAAGTTTTGAACATTATACAAAGGTTTGTTCCGTTGCACTATGACCTTGTAAAATTTCTTTGGGTTCATATATTTCTAGTAAGGTACTTTCTTCCATTTGATACTTGTCGTAAAAGGTTACTAATATTCTTTGTTTTGTCATAGCCCTTCAAAGCTGTCCTCTCAGTTAAGTGTGGAGTGCATTTCTTTCACTTATTGTTTTTTGTGGAACAAAGTGCTGAAAACTTATTGAGCTTAGGCATTGGATGTCAAAATCATACATTCATGAGATTCAGTTGGCAGTATTGTTAATCAAATGATGTCTTTAATTTTCGTGGAGAGAAACAGGGGCGGCTCAAATCAGAGAAATTGAATAGCATGGAGGAGTTGTTAATTCTCACAAGCCATGTGGCCAAAGCCGAAAATAGACAAGAAATATGAGATATCCGCGGACATCAATGATGATTAAGCTGCGAGCGTCCGCAACTGGTTTCTTAAAAAGACTTGGATAGTCCAGCAGTTCCTTTTCAACTCAAGCACTGAAAATTGAACCGGAGAATCATCTCGGAGAACATTTGGGTCAAAGATTCCATATATTGCTCTTTGCTGGGAATAAACGTCCCACAAAAATAATATTTACGATAATAAATACGGAATAACAATATAGCATCGAGATACGGTGATCAACAAGAATAAAAGAGTGACAAGGACACCAAGACTTATACGTAAAAAATCCTTCTGAATAAGGAAAAAAATCACGAACCCAAGAGGAGCAAGTTATATCACTATAGGAGGAAATTTTACACTTTGTAGGTTCGAGTAAAATATTCCAAAGAACCACTACAACACTTAAAATAAACAACTCTCTTTTGATATTCCCATCTCACGGTAATATCACCCACATTCTCTATTTTCTTCGTAGACTTTTTTCTTATATCCTATATGTGATTCCTTAGTTTTTCCTCTCTCTCTTTGTTGGTGTATATAGAATGAAGAATTACTTCTCTATCTATAGTGAAGCTAAACGTAGCCTCCAAGCATAAAAAGAGAAAAAGGAAAATGATCCAAAATTTGTACTCCACAAAATATTTTGTTGGTCCTCAGTCATCTAAGAAAATTGGCACATGCCAATAACAATGGAATGAGATGGACCCACAACATCCCCTCCAGTCCCATTCACCTGAAGGAGGTAACACCAGGCTTCTAATTTGAGTGCATGTCGATAAATTTTTTGCATAGCTCAAACATATCTCTTGGAAACACCTTGATCAGCATATTTAAAGGATTCTTACTTGTAGGGATCTGCCTGACATGCATAGATCTGTCCACTATCTTCTCCCGAATCCAGTGATATCGCATGTAGATATGTTTTGCTCTTGCATGATACATGGTATTTTTACTCAAGTCTATTATACTTTGATTGTCACAATAGACTATATGCCTTCTAGTGCAATCCAAATTCTTGAAAAAATCGTTTCAGCCATACCATCTCCTTGCCAACTTCAGTAGTGACAATATACTCTATTTCAGTTGTAGAGAGTGCTATAAAACTTTTGCAACTTTGACTGCTATGATATAGCTCCACCTGCAAATGTGAACATGTATCAATTAGTAGATTTGCAATTATCAAGATCACATGCGATATCAACATCTGTGTAACCTTTCAAAATTGGATCAGATCCTCCAAAACACAAACAGTCTCCAGAGGTACCTTTCAGGTATCTGAGTATCTACTTGACTGCTTTCCAGTATTCGTTTTCATGATTTTCAAGGAACCTGCAAAGAACACCAACTGCATGAGCAATATTAGGTCTGGTGCATACCATTGCATACATAAATTTCCGACTACTGAAGAATACAGAATTTTGGCCATGCTCTCTTTATCATTCTTTGTTGTAGGACAGATCTTGTTGCTCTACTTCATATGACCAACAAGAGGTGTGCTGACTGGCTTAACGCTTTTCATGTTGAAGCGTTCTAGTACACATTCAATGTACTTCTCCTGAGATAGCTATAATATTTTACTTGTTCTATGACAAACAATTTTCATTCCCAAAATTTGTTGTGCTAGGCCAAGTCCTTCATATCAAATGACTTGGACAAATCTTCCTTCAACTTTGCAATCATCTCCTTGTCTTGTCCTACAATCGACATGTCATCCACAAATAATAACAATATAATAAAGTTATTGTCAGAAAATCTTTTGAAGTATACACATGGATCAGAATAGGTCTTTGTGTAGGTTTGACTTTTCATGAATGAGTCAAACTTCATGTACCACTATTTTAGTACCTACTTCAACCCATAAAGTTTCTTATTCAATTGTACACCATGTGTGTCTTTTTAGCTACTTTAAATCCTTCTGTGTAAAACCGCAGAGGTTTTCTAATACGATTGAGCCTAATTCAAGCTTAAGGAATAATTAGTGAGACTTCGAAGTACGTAGGGGCCCATGCGAGGATAGCATGGTCAATACTTGAGCATAAGGTCATAAGGGTTGAAGGTCCCTAGGTTGAGTGGATAAATACATGACTTGGAGGGTTTAGCAAATAAAGGAGGAACATAATTCTTGTAGCCAGGCGTAGCTAGGATGCGTAGCTAAAACCATGAAGAAGAGAAGAGGAGAAGGAGAAGCTTTAGTTGTGCGTACTAGGGTGTGTAGCTACACAACGAGGCATAGCTAAGGTAAGTAGCTACGCTCGCATGCATACCTAAAACCAGAGGGGAAAAAGAGGAACTTCAGATGCGTAGCTACACACTTGATTTTTTATAAATAGAAGGAGGCGGGGAGAGAGAAATTGAGCAATATTTTTGAAGCTTTGATATTTTAGAGAGAGAAAGGGGAAACTCCTACATCTAATAATCTTCAAGGTATGATTTCTTGGTACATCTATGATATTATAACATCATTATATGCTATAACTAACACATATATGAATCCATTCCGTGGAAATTCACTTGAATCTTGAAGAATCATCAAGAACACCAAAGACGATATTTTCTAGGGTTTGCTTCAAAAAGGTTAATTCTTCTAATTCAATCTCATTTATGAGATATAAATGAGTATATATATGGTATTCATGATATTGAGAAGTAGTTAAATGTGAGTAATTATGAAATCCTAATTGGATATTGATGGTTGGTGGTTGGGGAAAACATGAATAGTAGCTTGGGATAATAAATGAAATTGTTTAATTATTTATAATCCTAATAGACTATTAAGTACTATAAATGAGATTGTTAAGAATGGAGGAACACATTTGGTAGGAAAGATGAATCCAAAATATATATAGTCAAGAGTAAAGGTCTAAATGAGTCTTGTTAGGTATTGTTGAGCAACTCTTGACTCATGTTGGATATAATTGTGTAGATTGTGATTGGACTCTCATTCTTTCTTCTCATTCTATATTGTGAGTTAAAGCTAGAAACAAGATGTGAATTCCAATCTCCATTGAATTTCCGACGAGATCAACGAAGAAGAGTGATGGGAATGAGGTTTGAGATTCAAGTAATGACACTAGCTACTAGAGGAGTAGCCAAGAAGGTGTTGATGACCCTCCATTAAAATATAAAGGCAAAGGTCGGAAATGAATTGAAATAGGTACAACTCGAAGGAGGAATTAGTGAATTGGAAGAATTAGCTAAGGGCTAATGATATGTCTTAATGAAGATGAGATTACTATTATTATATGTTATCGTAACATCGAGAATCACTGAAAGTTGTGGTATAGAAACAAATAGGGGCATCTTAAGAAGATATGGCCCAAGGATATGTTTACAATCACTTGAGGGCAAAGGAAAATCAGTTATTGTGATAGTCACAAATTGTTAAGGACGAGTAGAGTATAAACCTAGTTGGTAAGGGAATAGAAGTGATGGTAGGTTAGGAACCCTTGTTTTAGCTATATTTTACACTCTAATTACTATTTTTTAATTGTATTTGAACCTCATTGCTAGTACTTTGTACTTATTACATGTGTTACGGTGTATGATGTGATTTCGAGTTGAGAAGTAATTTTGAAGATAAAATATATGATTTGGAGCTTTGAAGTCTGAGTAGAAGCCCAAGGAATTAAGTCGGAATCGTGTTCAGGGTTCGAGGACCAAGTCTGGATGTTAAAAATTGAGAAAAATTCCTACTCTGAGAAAACTACACTACCGCACCGCGTCGTTGGGTGTGCCATGCTAGTGCAAAATTCTTACAAAGTAAAAAGAATTAGCTCTCTGGAAAACCCCACATGCGCGGCGCATGTTGTGCCGCATGGGGCGGCGCGCTAGTACAAAATAGTGCCCTACTTTTCCCACTTCGGCTCAGAATGGTAGTTTCATCCGATCCCAATTCTACATGGTATAAATACACTAAAAACATGATTTTTAGAGGACTTTTGACCTACGGAAGATTGGAAGAGCATTGGAGACTCTAAGGCACAAGGATTTATCATTCTCTACTCAACTCAACACTCGAGTCTGGATTGAATTTATATTTTCTTGTTCAACTTTATTTGTGATGACTTTCTCCATGATTATGAAGTAGTTTACTTTAGGGTTTGACGAATATGATGCTTTGATTGATATTTGTGAATTTTAACTCTAATTATTTGCATGAATTCGTTTATGGAGCTTTGAATTGATTGAAATTTTGTTCACCAAATTATTTAATCAAAAGATAAATATTTTGGGTGATTATATTTACATTATTTTATTTGGTTTAGTTTAGTAATTCTTCTAAGTAATCGAAAGAGTTTTTTGAATGGTTGACTAAACTAAGTTAGGAGAATATTCGAGAGATGTTTTCCTAAAGACCAGTCCATTAACGTGTTCTTGTATACCTTCATAGTGCTTTATATTAGTTTACCTCATAGA